CTTTTGTTATTGAATGCAAGTCATGTGATAGAAATGATGCCCAATAATGCCCTAAATGTTGGGATGACAAAATGGGTTCATTTTCTAAACCTTTCAGACTTAAGATGCTAGAAGAAATCTGAACAGATTTAAGATAAAAATATCTAATTATTCCTTCTTTTTCTCTACATGTTTTCATCTTTCCAATCGCTGATATTTCTGAGATCCTTCTTGTTATTTTATACGATTATTGGACAATAATTAAAGATAGCACTAAGAATATATAATCTTTATTTTATAATCTTACTTTTCCTTTCTTCTTTTTTTGTATCTCCCTATATATTATACATTTTTTTTCTTGTATTTTATTATGTGGTTGGGTGTTTTTTGATTTTTTTTATATATTTTTTTTGCAATTCTTTCCAGATCAATTTAGTTTCCTAAATAGGTGAAACCATATAACATACCAGTTTATTCTGATACTCTTCAGTGCTAAAACTCTATGAACATACTTCACTTTTTACTTCAGCCTTTTGATATTTTCTGCTTCCTTTGTACTTTCTTCTTACTGAGAAATATTTTTTTCAAAACAGTCCAAAACTTATTATGAATAGGCTATAGCTAATACATTCACATTATTCTTATTCACATATTCTATTCACCTTCTTATTGTTACCTTTTATATAATCTTCTTTTGTTGGTACCACTGCACATGGTGAGATATGTATGTACTACACAATTACAGTTTACTGTGAATTCACAAATTGCTGGGGAAAATTTACATTTTCTAGAATTGAATATTGCTGACAAATCAAAATGGATATACAAATAAAGCATCATGTGATGAACTAGGTTGCAAAAATATTTATAACAGAACCAGAACTACTAAAACCTATTTATTTCCCTTGCTTTTTGGTTAAAACAAACAAAAAAAATTAACCAACTTGCCCTTTTTCCCAGTATAAATAGTAAGCAGACCCTTAAAGCAAAGGTTTGCAATGTTTACAAATAGAATATATATTTTTTTCATTTAAATAGAAAGCATATATTGAAGTCAAAATTTGCTCTTCACTCAGTGCTTTATTTACATGTTAATCATAATGTTTAAAATTGGATCTGGGAAATCAACAGAAGGAGAAGGGAAAACACCTGCAACATACTGATCTTCTGTGTATTCTGTAAAATACATCAATCCAATGATACTTCTGGGGAGGGCTGAATATACACTCCATATATCTAGATACTAGTTGATTCTTTAATTTTTATAATGTACCAGTAGGTAGGATACTGTGTAATATTTGTGATAGTAGATTTAATGGATTTCCACATGAGAAAACATATACAGAAAAGTAGCAAGAAATCTGTATTATATAAATCATTTCTAAATCTGTTCTCTTAAAAAGTTCCTGAGTATATAAATTCTATTGGTAAAGGGACAATATTACAAAAGAATTTTGGTGATGTATCTGCATAGAAGTGTGTATGTTCATGCATATGTGCAGCAATCTTGTTCGTAATGAAGCAAAAATAATTAGGTAAATGCATAATGGTTCACTAATTATTGTCCATTAGAGAAGAAGGAAAAGTAAGAAGTCAAACATTTCTGCTACTAAATCTGGTTATAGAAAAGAAAAGAAAAGAAAAGAAAAGAAAAGAAAAGAAAAGAAAAGAAAAGAAAAGAAAAGAAAAGAAAAGAAAAGAAAAGAAAAGAAAAGAAAAGAAAAGAAAAGAAAAGAAAAGAAAAGAAAAGAAAAGAAAAGAAAGAAAAGAAAAGAAAAGAAAAGAAAAGAAAAGAAAAGAAAAGAATCAACTGACAGATTTTAGATCATGTGATCCAACACCCTTATTAAGCAAGTACACCTAGAGCATGGTGGTACTGCACATGGTGCACCATGTATTGTACATGGCGCAGGACCATGTACAGGCAGCTTTTGAAGATCTCCTAGGAAGGAGATTCCACAAACTCTCTGGGCCAGAGTTCATTTACCTTCATACTAAAAGTAATGTGTTTCTTGATATTCAGATGGAACATCTTGTGTTCCAGTAGTTTGTGACCATTTGCTTTTTGTTTTGTCACTAGGCACCACTGAAAAGAGCCTGACTCCAATTTCTTCACAACTTCCCTTCAGGTATTTATATACACTGATTTATACTTAATGCGTTCATATGCCCTTGAGTCATTCTTCTCTAGGCTGAACAGTCCCAGCTCTTTCCTCAAAGGCAAGATGCTCCAGTACAAGTGTTGACCATAAAAGTATTCAAGGACTGAAATATACCCATCTTGGTTATGTAGATAATCTGGTTTTGTATTTTTGGATCTGTGAAATATCCAAAATCTCTCTTGAAAAATGATAAGCAAAATAATTGCTTAACAAAATTAGATTATAAAATAACAGGCACCAGTGCATCTCTTTGTATAAATACAGCAACAATTGTAAATAATACTGAAATTAATCTGATGCTGTCTGAACAGTAGAAATGATACTTCATAGTAGTGAAGATTTTTTAAGTTACTTAAGTAAGTTTTGAAAAAAAAAAAAAAAACAATAAAAATGTGAAGTTCTTGTAAATGAAGGAACACAATACATAATAAAATTGCTAGCTATCTGATTTTGGTGCAGTGAAAAGTTTCTTGACAACTTTTCCATGTATGCAGACTGAAGAAGTCATGTCTGACATAGTCATGTCTGAGTATGCAAACTGAATGTCAGATCATTATTTTGGAAGATAAAATGTGTTAACAAAACACTGCGAGTTTGTTTTCTTACAGATGTCCTGGGCAAACTAAATGAGAAAAAGGAAACAATAACATTTTTACCTCTGTTAAGTTTGATTTACACCTCGCTGGGTCCTTGATAACCTGACTATGAATGTAATATTCTTGCTCACATTTTCTATTTCATACCATCCTTTCTCTTTTTTTCCCTAATAAATCTTTTTGCCAAATCCATCTCTTCCTTATTTTTATTTATTTATTTTTATTTATCTACTATTAGAAATACAGTAATTAGCATAAAGATAGAAGAGAAAGTCAATAGACAGATGCAAAGGCTTAAGTGCATTTTGGGGACTGAGATTCAAAACACAGTTGTCATTTAAATGTAAAGCATTCTACCTTCGCTTCTGACTCCTGAAAATGTATCTCCCAACTTAAAATTCTGTATTGGTGAAGCTTCATGAATGTTTTATTATCTGCTGAGCATGCCTAGTATCAATCTTCTTCATTATTAAAGCAAATTCTTCATTGCCATACCTCTTATTTCTTCACAGACAGTAGATATGCTTGATGCTTGCTGGAAGTATTTTTTGCATCTCTCCTTATCTTTGAAAAGCAAAACTTTCCAAAGTACTGTTGTGCTGCTGCAACTACTTGTTCTATTGTTACTACTTGTTATTACTCCACAACTGACTACTACTGACTACTGATCACAGAACATGACGAAGAACCTGTTTTAAATTTTCTTTATGTATTGAAGTATTTAAGCCTCATTATTTGTTTAAAAGTGCTCTGTCTATCTAGCAAACAGGATATTTTTGAATCCTTCCCCATACTAACTTAAGTTACTTAAGAAAAAAGCAAATAGCTTCCTCACTTGTGCATTGCAAACATCCTGACTGTTCTCTTGTTCCTTGCACTGAGGTAAAAGCTTCTGGTAATCAAATTTCTAGACCTAAATCAGGTTTAGGTTCTGAGCCACTTAATCTTGATTCTTTATGACACAAATGCGTACCTATGTGCCCTCAAAACTTTTGAGGTTAAGCACTGAACTACCAATGGAATTTAGGCAAACTAACTGACAGCGACCAAGGATTTTCAGTGTCTTTAAAGAGTGAGGAAGAATACATTACTTACCATTATACCTCAGTCATGTATAATATTTGTTTGGTTTTGTTTCTTTGCTTTGCATGGAGAAGTGTAGCAAGTTCATTCCAGTGAATCCTAAATAAGAACAGAACTGGATGGAAAGAGGAGCACGTGATTCATTTGCCAGCTTTAGTAACAAGCATACTTTGCTCAATTAGCTTTTTGTGGAGCTCATTCTCATCAGTTTAGTTTTTCCCTAGTAAAGTAGATTTAAACTAGCAGCATAGGTCTTTTGAGTTACAGCATAAAATATAAAGCATAGAGCCACTATTTGAATCTAACTGCCAGTCTGAAGGCAGGTAACAATACTGAAATTTGAATTTACTGGCACCCACAGTCTGCCCTAAGTGTTTATTCCAATTAATGTGTTTATGAATTCCTTAATGCTCTCTGATTGTAATTTTACTGCTTTTGAAAATTTAATTTCAGAAAATAATATAAATAAAAACTGGATATAATATTTTAGAATTGTCAAATAATTAACTTAGTATATTAAAGAAAACTGTCAAAATGATCATGATAAATCAAAAGTTTATCTTATTCTAGCTGTAATTTTATGGATTCTCAGGTTATTAAGCGCAGGTCCTAATTAATTTGCCAGTAAAGTTTTATGAATCAATCAGAAGTCATAATATCAATGACAATGTAACCAAAAAGTAATTCTGAAGTTATATAACTGGTTAAATGTCTTAATAAAAAGATATATATATATACATATTTCCCCAGACATGCTATTTATTCACAGTCCTTTTCTATTCACTCATGACCATTTACACACAGATACCTACCTATAAGATACCATGTTCTATCTCTGTTAATTTAAACACTCAACTGAATTCTAAAAAGTTCACAAAAGAAACCAAGCGCACAATAACACTATTTGATAGAGCAAATTCTCAACTACAAAATACTGTTTTTAAATATAGTTACCACCATTAGTCATGCATTTTCACACGTAATGAACAAGAGCCTGCATGTTGCACTAACATAAATCTTCATGGCTGTCTGGAATACGGCTTGACTTTCATGTCATTGTTACCACTGCTGAAATGCACCACCCATCACCTCACTTTGCTCACATGCACTGTTTGGTGTCACAAAACTCTCAGAAAGTGTTGGTGAATGTCAATAGATGATGTTTTTTTCTGAATGGAGGAATCACAGAATCACAGAATCACAGAATTGTAGGGGTTGGAAGGGACCTCCAGAGATCATCGAGTCCAACCCCCCTGCCAAAGCAGGTTCCCTACACCAGGTCACACAAGTAAGTGTCCAGGTGGGTCTTGAATATCTGCAGAGAAGGAGACTCCACAACCTCCCTGGGCAGCCTGTTCCAGTGCTCTGTCACCTCACTGTAAGGAAGTTCTTGTGCAGATTTGTGTGGAAATTCCTAAGCTCCAGTTTCTGGCCGTTTCCCCTTGTCCTGTCTCCACACACTGCTGAAAAGAGTCTGGCCTCGCCACTCTGCCCCCCACACCTTAGATATTTATAGACCTGGATCAGGTCCCCTCTTAGTCTTCTCAAGGCTAAACAGACCTAGTTCATTTAGCCTTTCATCTCACTCTTCCATCCAGTGGAAGTATACTTCTATATACACTTCCATCTCAGTCACCAGTTTGTTTGACTGCTCTTCTGCTGCCATCTGCTGCTTGGCAACAAAATGTAACAATATTGGTGGAAGTTTGAATTTCTACTGGCCATACAACCAATGTCCACTTCTGACATCATGAACTAACATAATAAAATAGGTGGCATTACTTTCAGAGCAGCCCTCATACATTGCTTTCAATTAAACCATTTTTATCCTTCATGCTGCTATGCTTTGCACCCATGCGATTGATACCAGTAGGTATAATTACCCATGTGGTCTAGTGATGATTAATTCAAGACAATAATTATGTATCCTTCTGATAAGTAGTGAGCTAAGTCTACTTTATATATTACCTGCCATTATCAGATTGATCCCAGAAGGAGAGAGAGGTGAACAAGCATCTAATAGGTAGATTATGATGGAGCTTGAAAGTTAAGCTATTCAGTATTTTATGAAAATTTTTGTGCATGCCATGATGCCAAGTATTTCCATAACAAGATAACAAAATCTAGAAGTTTATGAATGTTTTGGTTTTGGATTTAATTTATGTGTGCATGTGCCATTTAATTCACAGAAAAGAACCACAGAATGATTGATTGAAAGAGACCTTAAAGATCATCTAATTCCAAACCCTCTGCTGAAGGCAGAGACACCTTCCACTAAACCTCAGCTAAATGATTTTTGTTGACCCAATTGCAGAAATTAACTGAAGGAAAGATGAGATACTGTCATTTTTAGGAATCAAAAAATTAAGGACAGAGCCTCATTTTGGTGAGCATATACCACCTCATTTTGTTGGGCATATCAACTGTTAGTCTATGAATGATATTTTGCTCTTTCTGCTAATTATAAAACAAGCATCTAATGATGAGATTGTGTCAATCTTTATGACTAATGTGTTTGAATGCTGGTATTCCTTCTGTGCTGCACCAGGACTCTGACTTCACTGTGCATTTAGCCAGTTTTACAAGGAACCGATGAGACTTCAGTCTTTGTCAACCCAGAAATAAACTGGTTCTTGACACTAGGGTTTTCTCATTGATTAAATTGTCATGGAGTATTCACAGCCTAAATGCTGCCTTCTGGTCACTGTCCTTTTTTTCTGTGTGGAAAATGACCTTTGTGAATTAATTGCATGCCCTAGATGTGTCAAAATGAGGTGGAAGCAGCAGTCCAAAGCAATAACATTCTAGGAACTATTTGTCCCTTGATTCTCCTGTGAACTTCATGGGGGAAAAAAAAAAAAAAAAAAAAAAAAAAAAAAAAAAAAAAAAAGTGCACAAAATATATATTATCTTTTAGCCACACTAAATTTGAAAGTAATCTAAGCTGATCTAGAAAATTCTATTTGTGCTTTATTTTCTGCTTGATAATATTTTAATGATTGCCCTGTATTAATTGTAAATCAGTACATGCTGAGTGAGTTATAGGAATTATTTTGAGTCTGGGCACTGCAGCTGTAGGTCTGCCTTTCAACTACCCTTATGTGATTTATCGAGCTTTCAAAGATTTTTAGATAGTTTATAATTTTATAAGAATTCCTTATTTCATGCAAATATGTAAACATATTACATTGAATTTGAATTTCTGGCATATAGTGCATTCTGGCTGCTTTCCAGCATTCTCCAATATACTGCAGGATGTACATGGGATATCAATGAAGTGAAACTAAAGTTCCTCCCCTACCTTGCAGAATTGTCCAAACTCAGAAGTAATTAATAATTCTCTGAAAATAGATAATTTGATGCAATTCATTATTTTCTTGCTTTGATGACAACAGAAGTTTTTATCAAAAACGAAGCAGATGGGGTATATTGGAAAGCTTGCATGAATGCCTAATTTTCTCTCAACTCATGTACTAGTCACATGTACCTCTAGGTCTCTGAAATCCCACCTGTTTGGGTACAGATTGTCCAAGTGCCTTGGAGCGGTGGCTAAGTTATATAGTACAACTGGTAGGGTACAGGAATGCCACAGCTTCATGTATTAGATAGACTGCATGGTTGTCCAGTCAGTCCAGTGGGCTATCTCTGCCCAAAAATGGGCATGGTTGCAGTTTCCAGTGGAGCTTGGTGGGATCAGATTGCTGGCTAAAACATTATAGAAAATATGCATTCTGCCTTGTTTGAAACAAGCTTCTTTTCAAATATTATTTATCTTACGAATTCACCTTTTAATTTATTCATTCCATTTCATAATGAAAAGAATGTTAAAAATGCTAAAATTTCTACAAGATAAAAATTCAAGATTAAAATGAGTTTTTTTTAAGAATAAAAAAAATTGATTTCAAAACAAAAGAACTAGGAACAACAACAACAACAACAAAAAAGGCAAACTTAGATGAAAATGAAAGACATTTTTATTTAGAAACAGAAATCACGAATACTGCTGTAAACATGGAGAAAAAAATTAAAGTTGTAACCTAGCTGTAACTGAGAGTTGTCCCACGGTAACCTGTAGCTTCTCCAGAAGAAATTAACATTCTTCAAAATTGTGCCAGAACAGAATTCTCTATGCAACTGTGAACCAGAAATATACTAATATATAAATATAACTATTCTAACCAGAAATACATGAGCTACATTTCGTGTAGTCTCTTTGTATCTCTTCTTGTCTCATATGTCTCTTCTTGTCTTACAGCCAAGCAATATACAAGATCAGTTACATCAGCTTAATATTGCATGGCTTCTGTAGTTGTTTTGTGCATTCTTCCTGACTTTCAATGGATAGCAAATTCCTTTAAATAAATAATCTCAAGATCCTATTAAAACAATTTCATATGCAACTGCACAACTAGAATTTCAAGCCCTAATTGCAAAGATCCATAGAAAAAGGTGGGATTTTCCTGGTGGCTTTTTTTTTTTCTTTTGTTGTTGAAAACCTACATTTATTTCTCATATGGTTTTTTACTCTATATGATATTAATATTGATGTTAATTTGCATATGCAAATGCAAGCTTCAGAAAGAACTGACAAATCCTTTTTCAGTTGCCTATCCCTTTCAGTTTATTCACATACATAAGATGGCTCTACTAGCATATATCACAGATACGTACACACATCAATCTAGAGGATCAAACACCACTCTTTTGGTAATTTATCTAGTGGTAATTTTTTCCACTCTTTCCTAAAACTTAGGCCAGCCTCAATATTAGATTCTCAGGGAATATGGTCAGCCACAGAATATCTTATGAATTTATATCAGTTGAAAACCAATACAAAAACTAACTCTTTAGTTAGTTTTCCTTGTGACCATGGACTAAAAGGTCAATGGGGCAATATCTTCATTTGATTTTGTCTATTTTCTGAGTATAAACAGAGTGTGGCAGTCAATGACTCAATGAATGGATGTATATTAGTGTTATGTGGTATCTCTCAGAGGTCAGTACTGGGGCTGATGTTTAATTTATCAATTATATAAAATTATTAATTATATCAGTGAGATTGATTCAACAAGTTTATGGATTACACCAAGCTGTGTGGTATCAACACACCTGAGGGATGGGATGCCATCCAGGGAGAGCAGTGTGCTCAGGAGAACATCATGATGTTCAACAAAGCCAAGTATAAAGTCTTGCTTATGGGTTGCAGCAATCTCCACTATCAATACAAGCTGGAGGAGGAAAGGAGTACAAGCTGGCTGAAGAGAACTTGGGAGTACTGGTGGATGGTAAACTGAAGATGAGCCAGTAATGTGTCTTTGCAGCTCAGAAAGCCAACTATATGCTTGTCTGCATCAAAGGAAGCATGGCCAGCAGGTCAAGAGAGGTGATCCTACTCCTCTGCTCTGTACTGATGAGATCTCACCTGGAGTATTGTGTCCAGATGTGGAGTCCTCAGTACAGGAGAGACATGGATCTGTTGAAGTGTGTCCAGAGAAGGGCCACAAAATGATCCAAGGGAAGGAACTGTCCTCCCTTGTGAGGACAGTCTGAGAGAGCTGGGGCTGTTCAGCCTGAAGAGAAGATTCAGGGAAGACCTGGTAATGGCCTTTCAGAATCTAAAAGGGGACTATAAGAAAGAGGGAAACAGACTCTTTAGCATGGTCTGTGGTAATAGGACAAGGCAAAATGATTTCAAGCTAAAAGAAGAGAGATTTAGACTGGGTATCAGGAAAAACTTTTCTACAATAAGAGTAGTGAAGAACTGGAACAGGTTGCCCAGAGACAATGTGACCTTTAAATATCTCTTCCAATTCAAATGATCCTATTATTCAATGAGTCTTAATATTTATTTATATGCACCATAAAACATCTGAATAACAGATATGACACTGTTTTTATTTTGCTGTTCTTCTGACTGCTGGTTAAATTTGTAAATAAAAGTACTTCTCTTAAGTAAAAGCTTAGTGGAGAAAAAAAGAAAAAAGGAAATAGTCAAAATAGAATTAAGATATTGCCCCATTGATCTTTTAGTCTATGGTCATGAGGAAAAGTATTTACTAAATCAAGCATAAATAACAAGGACATATATATGCTCTTTTTTTGGCATTAACTCAGTTTTCTCATTTATCAGAGGGGGTACATTCTCTTTGGCCTGTCTCTTCTCAGCAGTGTACCTGTATCTTCTTGTTATTTTTCATATCCCTTGTCAAATTTAGTTCCACATTTGCCTTGGCATTCTTGATCTCATTTCTGCATATCTGGGTGG